TAAATTCATGCAAGTTTTCATTTGGGGTACATCTACTAAACAGTGATTTTTATTTGTTTTGCATTTGGGCAGTGGAGCATCCCTTTATTATAATAATCATTTATTTTAGTTTTGAAAGGAAACTGATTTTTTAAATGGAGTGTATGTACAAAAAAAAAAGAAAAACTCACCCCTACTTTATGACAGGATTCTTTAGCTATACACATGCCTTGGGTTGGAGTGTGTTTGAAAACAGACACTTAGTCTCTATGGTTTTCCCTGTTTCTGTTTAGTGAGTGAAGCAGTAAAGACCATAGAAACTAACTGTACTGACACTACGATTACCCGGAACAACCTGTGAAGAACCAGGAGTGGATGGCCCAGCAGTACACCAGCTTCAAGTGGGCTACCTTAAAAGACTTGGTGGAACCTCGAGGTATTGTAGCCAGAAATCTCACCTAAACATCATTAATCAAGATACTTATGGAGGGTGATCGATGAGTCGAAAATGGTTCGTCTATGAATTTGATCGGCTGATGCAACAGCGGATGCGCTATTACGGCCAGAATTTCTCCCAAGCAACCATCTGGAAGGTCATGGCAGATATAAAATAAAATAAAATAGGTTGCACCGAAAAAACTGTAAAATAGAGTAAATTACCAACTGATGGAAGACAATAAAATACAATGTTGAGATAATAAAAATTGAAAAATACAAGTTACAAAACAAACAAATAAAAGAGTCTAATATTTAAAAAAAAAAGTAAAAAGTCTAAACTTTGAGTTACAGCAAATTTAATTTTACTGTTTATTCTCCTTACATTAGGTTTGCTGCCCATTTTTCAAGTAAATATATTCTTTGATTGGTCACTCAGCGCTGATCCACTTTTAATGTTAGTTATAACAGTTGTTGAAAGAGGATTCGGTCACCATTCTGGTGAGAAAGCTGTCAGTTCGGGTCAGGCAGCCAAGACCTACCAAACCTTGTCCGATCAAGAGTGCCATGACTATGATCTGGTGAAAGAAAGGTTTTTAGCCATCACCCTGGAAGGATTGTGGGATCTGAGAAAGATGTAAGAGAGTGGGGCCACCAAATGCAGCAGGTGGTCTAGAGCTGGAAGCAGTGGTGCCAGATAACTACTGTGGTAGAGGTGGCTCAAGTCATCCTACTTGAACAATTTTTCAACTGTGCCCCTCCTGACATCTGTAATTGGGTTCAGGATTACTGGCCTTGGCCCATCAAAAAAGCAACCAAGTTGGCAGATAAGTATCAGGACATCCGTTGGTCCACCTCTACATGCGTTTAGCCAATCAGCGGACCCATACTACCACCTGCAAGAGTAATACCTGCTCCTGTGACAAACATCAGCACTAATCCCAATTGGGTACCCCCTCTAGCCTGCACTCATCTGCCCAGGCAGACCAGACATAGGTGCTATAAATGTGCTTGGACACCTTCTGCACAACTGCCCTAAGTTGACACCACGGCCTACCTAGAATCCGGGCAGCCCCCCAGCAAAGCCGAGCTTTGACTCACTGTTTAGCTGAGGTTTTGGAAGGACATCACTACAGAGGAGTAAAGGTCTCTTGAGGAGGACTGGTGACTACTTCACGAGGTGGACCCAGTATAACCAGCATCTGGCGACAACTGATACCATCATCGGTAGACCGTGTGGGTGAATGGATGGGCTGCCCAAGGATTCTGAGACACTGGAGCTTCAATTACTCTGGTGCAACCCCAGCTCATAAAACTTGGTTGGTGGCTGCCCAGGTAGCAGGGAGAATGTGCAATGGCTACCCACCACAAGGGTTCACTTGGATTGGATTTACTATGATGATGATGTTAGCATTATGAGTAGCCTCCGTGCTGAAGGACTAGTGATAAATTACCTAATCTTACTTACCTCCTTGTACCAACTAGAATCATAAGAGAATTGTGTGGTTTATCCCAGTCACCGGGTCTAACATGGATCTAGGGTTGCAATGTAGGAGTTCCTCTTCCTTGGGTTGTAATTTTACAAGGGGCATTCGTTGTTTCAGGTTGTGTGTATTATATGGACAAAATGGAGCTAAATATAACATAACATATAATATATATAACATAACAATATAACATAGTTTCAACTCATGGTGTGGGATAAAGGCTATAATTACTGCTATAATCATTCGCTACATATCACCTCCAAAAGCTGCTCATATAACTTTGAGATGGACATCTGAGCACTCCTAATGGCACCGAATACTTTGACTCAGCAAGTCTGAAAAGAGCCTAGGAAGCCAAGAAGTAACAGAGGTACACAGCGGGACTACCGACAGACCGTTACATATGCCTTATACCAGCTTCCTGGCTAACTTGAAATTGTGAGTTGAGGGAAATGTTTATAAAATCTATGAATGCTAATTTTGTTTGTTTGTTAGCAAATTAGAAAACTAGTGACGATCTCAGTGAGGCCTTATTTTCGGGCTAGGGCTTATTTTCAGGGATGTCTTATTTTTAAGGAAAAACTGTATTATTCAGCCAATACATTTCTCTTTTTTTATCTGTGACACCGATCTGCCATACACCCTTCTCTGTATTTTTCATCTAATGCGTCACATTCTTCTTTGATTTACAGTTCTGTTCAGAGGTCTCAAAACTTGAATTGTATCTGTTAGTCAAAATGTTTGAGTACCCTATAGAAAAATACTAATATCTAATTGTTGTGTTATAGGATCAAATGCATAGAAAATAACCAATGGCATTTATTAGTAATTATTAGTAAATTTTAAGAAAGAGGAATCAGAAACAGATTGCAAGGCACCACATAAAAAAACAATATAAATCAAACAACCAACACTAAATTACCCACAGTAGTCATATGTATACAAAAATAAAATAGTTTTTATTTTATTTGTTTTTAATTATGCTCCAAGTAAAATGCTCAGTTGGACAAAAAAATTATGCAACACAAAAATCAGGTGAACGGCAAGTTGCAGTCTGTGGCAGAAAAGTGAATAGCAGCAATTAATCAGCTGTTTTTGTATACTTAATTAGTTGCTAGAATAATTCATCTCCCACTTTACTTTTACAATTTCTCAGTCAATTACCAAATGGACCACTTGCATGAACTCTGTGTTTTAAAGATCATCTGAATTTATTCAGTAATGCAAATCTTTATAGAAAAAATGCTGTGTTCTGTCTGTCTCCTTCTGGCTAGGACTTGAAAATGACCATTGCCTAAATTAATTATAAATGTAAAAAAAGATATATTTAACTACAGAAAACACACTTCAGTAGCAGAATCCAGGAGAAATATATTTTAAAACCATTCATCTGGAAGGCTGTAGAACCAAATTCAATTAGTAGGATGACTAACCCAATTTGAAAAGATATTTTTTTTTTTTCAGTTTAACACATTGCTTTCTCTTAGGAACTCCATAATACCCACAATTTAAACAAAACTGAAAATCCCTGCTATATTGAAAGAAGAACTGTCACTTCTCTGGAGCAGACACAATTGAAAATCAGCTACAACTTAGTTTTTTTTAATAATTCTTTATTTTTGTTGCGCCATGAGGTAACATGCATGCCGAGTATGCCACAATAGCATGGAACGGCTTTTATGAGTGGACGAAGTTGTGACATGAGTATGCATCACACATTTTTGTTAATAAACATGAGTAGTTCGGCATATATCAGTAGGTGAGTGCGCCTAGTTGCTTAGTAAGCATGAGTGTGCTGATATATTGCATAGTTGAGGCGAGGGGTTTCTATATCTGAGTAAAGACACAATGTTAGGGTCATAAGTTTAGTGTTTTGGTCGGTGGTCCTCAACATGGAGTCGAGGGTCAATAACACTGTGGGGAGTTCGTGCAAGGTTGCCTGTCGAGTTGGTCTCTGCATTGAGATTGCTTTGTAGGGGTGTTAGCGTGGTGGATTCCAACAAGGAACTGTTCCAGGTGTGCCTTGCAATTGAGCGGGGCATGCCCCTAACCAAGGTGGTTGCGGGGGGTGGAGGGGGGGGGCGAAGTGTGTGGTGAATGTCTCGCCTGTGAGTTGAGACGGGATGACCTGTTAGCTCTAGAGCAGTCTGGGTCACTTCCCTGTGGGGTGGTCTTCCGTCAGTGTAAAGCTCAGTGCAAACTCTGTGGAGTAATGTATTGCATAGGCAAACTGTAAAACAATAATAATCTAACACAATTAAAGAGAAACCATATGAGAAAAGAAAGAAAGCAAAAACATTAGGTCATTTTCGTTGCAGTTCGCTGCCATTCGTTTATAGAGCAGACTCGAACATCTCTGGTGCCATCTGTTTTAAGGTGCCCAGTTGCCTCTCAGCTCCCATTCTTGGGACAAACGGTATGATGGTGGCCAGGTCCCATAACCTGCCTGGGGCAGTGGTTTCTGGGCAAGTCAGTGGTTCTGGCAATCCCAGTGATGAAAGGAACTTTGGTGCCTTCATCAGGGTGGTGAGTGAGTGGTTCCGTTGTGGGTTACTTGTAGCGTGCCCCTTTGTTCCCTATTGGTAAGCCGTGCCTGCAGATCTCAATTGTTACGTGACGTGTGTGAGCGATTTTGCACCATTGTAGGGTCGTTCTGGTGAGATCTTGATAGAAGGTCAATTGTGATTCTTCAAAGGTTAGTGGCGTCTTGCCTCTCAGGGCCACCATGATATCCCCCTTATCTTGGGCCGAAGTGCATCTTAAGATGACAACTCTGGCGGTGTGCGGTGGTGACCTGGTACCCGGGATTCTGTATACCCCATCTAGAGTGATTTTCTTTGACATTGCCGGGGGCAATATTGTTGCAAGCAATCTCCTGATGAAGTGTGGTAGCTCCTCTGTCAATATTGCTGTTGGTATGCCTCTGATTTTGACGTTATGTCTGTACCGGTCTTCCATGGCGGCCATCTGTAGTGAGAGTGTTTGATGTGGTTTAGTTAGCTGTTGTACTGTGTTTTGTATGTTAGTTAGGCCGGCATTTATGTCCTCTTCTGTAGCCCGGACCCTGTCAGTGGTGTTTTGCATGTCAGAGCATAGTACTGCACCTTGTGGATGTGCTTTGTTGCAGTGGACAAGTCTTCTGAATTTGCCGTGGGAGCGGGTGGTGTAGTACGCTCCTCACGCTGTTGTTGGTGCTCTGGGGATGTGTCAGAGGCTGCGGAGGCTTTCTGCAGGTGCCTTGGTGTTCGGCTGGGGTGCTCATCTTCTGGGAGTGGCGTCCCATGGCAGGCATGTGTGTTGAGTGCTCCGGGTGTGTTTGGCACTGCCGAGGAATGTCTCCAAGTCCGTAAGGGTCTGTGTCTCTGCTTAGATGTCTTGGCAGGTTGAAAGAAGGGCATCGATCTGTGCAGCTTGAGTGCCCGAATCTACTGGGGGGGTCTGTGGATTTTGGATTGTGCAGGTAAATTAGGATAATTGTGAGATTAGACAAGCCGTTATAAATGGCATCCACATGGCTTTGCTGTTGGCTCTGCCCACCACAACTTAACCATTTTTAATGAGATCCTTTGTTTTCTTTGCGTTTATATTAAAGATTTATCAAATTACATCACATTTCAGTTCAGACAAAGCAAAGTCAGGGCGAACAGGGCAAATTCAGAGAAATAGAAACATTATTTAATGTCTCCTTTTCACAGTATGTGTTACAGATAAAGTGAAAAATCAGTTAATGTGCACATTACCTAGTTAATCTGCAGATTAACTGGTTTGCTCAGTTAAAGTGAGGAATCAAGAGTTTTCCGCACTTTACCTAGGTAATGTGCACATAATGTGCACATTAACTGCTTCCGTCTAGTTTGTGCAAAATGTTTGTTTCTTTCCCCTCGGGTAAAGAGGAAATTATTTATTACAAAACATCCTTGCAGAAACCTTTTTCATCCTTTTTCAGTGCAAAAGTTTGTTTCTTTCCCTCGGTAAAGAGAAAATGATTTATTATAAAACGTCCTCGCAACAGAACCTGTTTCACCCTTCCAGTGCAGTCTCTGCAGAGTCGTTCACTTCTCGTCTAAATGCAGAAAGATTCTGAGTGAACCTGTCTCGATTCTTTTGTGAGCAAGTTCCTTTTCAATGCCCTCCATTCGAATTCTCAAAGCGTAGACGCATGGCTTGTTGCTTCTCAGAGGGGGCTAGCTACTAACAACAATGCTGCTTCGTAAGTCCAAGAAATACTTCTCATTGAGGAGAATGAGACCAAGGAGAGGTCTGCTCATGGACCACTGATTCCGACAGTCCTTCAAATATGATGATGATGATTATATTGAGAACAGTGGAGAGCATCTGCTGGATCATTTCAGGGTGGTTGCTGCATAATGTGCAGGAAGGCGCTCACTCTCTTGTGGTGGTGAGGGGCTCCTCGTTTCTTACCAGTTCGGGATAACTGTTTTGAAGAGGAGGTATGTGACTACGTGGTTTAGAAAGGTTTAGAAAGGTTTAGAAAAGCAAGCAAAGAAAATGTTAGCAGTTTCTAATGCAAAGCAGCCAAATGTAGACGAAGGTGTCACTGTGAGAATTAAAGTACCCGAAGTGGACAGAGCAAAAACTGATACCCGCTCGATTTTTAGCTGTGGTTCTTAGTAAAACAGAGGATGGCTTTCATAAACTTGGTACTAAAACGGGTATTTTGAAAAATGATTGTATGCCAAATCGGAATTCAGTGTTTGCAAAGAGAGATTTTTAACGAAAGAAGATGTCCCTGCTGTAGAAATATCTTTTCGTCAAACAGCAATCAAACAATCCCTTGGGAACTGGGCAGGGTTTCCGAAAATGTGACTCCAAATCGAAAATGTACCACAAATAGGTGTGCTTGTCGCAAAAACCGATTGCTATGTAATTCAAAGTGTTGCCAATCTTTAGATTGCACTAATAAGTAAGCATAGTTTTATAATATGTTTGTTTAGTAAATTCATTTCCTTAATCGTTTGATTCTTTCTATTGCAGTTTTGTAACAGAAACTTGCTTCTTTGTTGCTAAATAAATAACAGTATGTTAACTTGATTCTTGTTTGATTGTACTAACTTGCTTCTTAAACGTTGCTGTTGTTCCAGCAAAAGATCTTATTTTGCACTGTAACTAGTGCCTAGTAGGTAATGTGCAGATTTCCTAGGTAATGTGAGAAATCTTTGAGAAATGAAAAATTTTCTGCACTTTAACTGCTCAGCCTAGTTAATGTGCACATTAACTAGGTAATGTGCACATTAACTGATTTCTGCACTTTAACTGTAACACATGCACCAAGTTGCAAGATTAAGAAGTATTGAATTCTATATTTATTTATTTATTTTTACAACATGCATATTTGTTAAATGTAGGGATAAGTGAACTTACAGGGTTATTCACTAAACACCGGTTTTTATCTGAATGCAGCCAAATGCAGTCAAGATTAGGCCGGTCCAACCAAATCTATATCATCCATGCGAACACATTTATAGCACAGTAATAAAAAATTTAGCACAACATGGTGACCGAAGATAAACCGAGTTTCTCCCCTGGTCTCCACCCACAGTTGACAGCTAAATTATTGTTCTACAGCTTAGACTAGACTTAGACTAGACTTTGCAATTCCACAAATCCTGGTTTAGTTAAAATAAAATGAAAAGTATGTCCAAACATTAAATAAATTGAAACAATTATACAATATTAAATCAAGATCTATATTTGTTATGAATGACAATAAGTGTATGATAAAATGTGTAATAAATCAGTCCAATAATAAAATGTGGAGTAGAATTTAATTGTGTCAATTTCATACCCTAATTATTACTTGTTGAAATAATATTCTCCTTGTACTCTGCTGAGGAATATCCAGGAACATATTAGCTAATAATATTACAGAATTAGCTGGTGTATTGCCATTAAAGTAGCAGATGACATTTCTTCTAATGTTAATTAATCACATGTGAAACTAGCGCTAGTCATCAACATCAACCAATAAGTAGCTTACTCATAAAATAGTTTCAAAATATATAGAATAAATATTTTCAAATTGGTATCATTATACAGAGATGAAATTATAATATGAAAACAGAAACTATATTTAGTCCAAGAAATGATGCAACTTTAGTTATGAAGTTGAAAATGATGATGCAAAATTAAAATGGGGGCAAAATCTTGATCTATCGGGTCTATCAGATGTGCTATCATCTTTTGTATAAGTAAGATATTCTCTAGTAGTGTGGCTTATCTTCAAGCAACTGTCAGGATCAACTAATATCCAAAATGCAGAACTTAAGTTAACTAAATAAATATGTAACCAGAAATCCAGATTACTGTCCTTAGAATGTCTGGATAAAAATAGACTAGTACAGGACAAGCTGAGGACAGGAAAACAGAATGGAGGTAAACAGTAAGACAAGCCAGAGGTCAAGGAATACAAAAGTCAGAATAGTCAAGGTACAATCCAATAGGTAAAACATAATAGGATCAATAGAATAAACGTGTTCTTGGATTATTGGAATTGAAACCACGACAGGGCACTTTGAAATATTTTTGAGTTTAATTACCCTAACAATGGCTCTGATTGGTCAATGTAGGTTACATGACAGTGGACCGAGCATGCATGACGTCAACATGGCTACGCACAGACATTCGGAAAAGAAAATTGGTGCTGAACCGATGTAGCCAGTCAAGGCTCTACCATGCAAGAGCCAGCGGCTCTTGGACCATCAGTGGCGGCCGCCACAGATAAAAGACTAAGCTGCACTGACAATGCTCCCATGGACCTCATGGGAACACGCCGCAAGGAGCAAGCATGGCAGGCACCATAGCAGCAACAAGCCTAAACATGACAACGCACATTGAAATTTACATCATATGTGTGATTCACAGAGTCAGCTATGCTTCCTGTTTGTTTATTTTCGTTTAAAATTTTAAATTGATTTTAAATTCACCATGAATTTCTGAAAATTCTAACGGTAGTGAAGAATCCTGTAAATGTTCATATTAACAGTGTGGACTAAGCATGCCCTTCAACAAATCCAAGAGAACTCAGAACCCAGCTATTGTTTGCAGTCAATATACACTTTATTAGCTACGTTTGTGCACCCAGTTATTGGCTAACCATCATGAGACCAAGGGTAATAGCTATTGTACACTACAGAGAATCAAAGAAAAAAGCTACTTGCACACTATCCAAAATCCCTATGCACATTTTAAAAACTGGAGGGTTTTTAGTATCACTCCAATGGCCATTTATTATTATTATTATTATATTTATATGGCTCCATCAAATTCCGCAGCGCTTTACAATGGGTGGACGAACAGACATGTAGTTGTAACTAGACAAGTTGGACACACAGGAACAGAGAGGTTGAGGGCCCTGCTCAATGAGCTTACATGCCAGAGGGAGTGGGGTAAAATGACACAAAAAGGTAAGGATAGTATTAGACTAGTGACAGTTGCAGCAGAGGAATCAGTCAGGAGCTATTAACAGTTTAATTGATATGCTTTTATGAAGAAGTGGGTTTTTAACGATTTTTTGAAGGAGTGGGGTGAGCATCTAACAGTGGAGTGAAGCGAGTTCCACAGGAACGGTGCAGCCCTCGAGAAATCTTGAAGGCGAGCATCAGAGGTGGGAGTATGGACAGAAGATAGACGCAAGTCTTCAGCAGATCGTAAGGGCCTAGACGGAACATACTTGTGTATAAGGGAGGATAGATAGGTGGGAGCAGCATTATGTAGAGATTTGAAAGTAAGAACCAGAATTTTAAATTGAGCTCTATATTTTATAGGAAGCCAATGTAGGGACTGACAAAAGGGTGAGGCATGGGAGGTGCGGGCGGACAGGAAGATGAGCCTCGCTGCCGCAATCATTATGGACTGTAACGGCGCAAGTTGGGAGCACGTAAGACCACTGAAAAGTGGATTACAGTAGTTAAGGTGAGAAAGGACAGTGGAATGGATCAACACCTTAGTCGCATCTGGTGTTAAGAATGGGCAGATGTGCGCAATGTTTTTGAGATGGAAATGACAGGATTTGGCAATAGCTTGAACATGAGGCTTGAAGGAGAGGTCGGAGTCAAAGAGAACACCTAAACAGCGAGCCTGCGTGGTGGAACTAATGGTAGCACCGTTGACTTGGACATTTAACTGTAAGCTCACCTGCCACGTCAAAGCAAACCTAATGGTGAGTCCTGAACTAACGATTTACATTGCTTCCTTCCGCTAAAAGGTAAAATCTCTAATGAGACAGAGGTGGGCATTTTTCTAAACACTTACACGCTTATTCACCCTTAATAGGGAGCACATGGGATGGGCGACAGCATTGAAACATGGCTGGGTAATACCAATGCATATACAAATATACCAAATTTAGCCTATTTAAGGAAGCGACATTCATATTTAT